TCGCTGGCTGTCCGATGGATCCTTTCCTGCCTCCCTGGTGCCTCGCAGGCGCTTTTAAAAGGCAATCCTGTGCTGCGAGCCTGTGCTACGAGCGGGCTCTTAAAGGCAATCCTGTGCTACGAGAAGGCTTTTGAAGGCAATCCTGTGCTACGACAACCCAAGGCCTTCAAGACGGGAGCTTTCAGAGCCAGGGCTTGGGGTTAAGGGTACTTCTTTTACTGTTAGTACCCACTCTGAGCGCTCTACTCTGAGTTGTAAAGGGCTCGGGGAGCTGGTGATCGACACCAGCTCCCCTCCGCTTGCTGGCGGCACTGGTTCGACCCGGGGGCGCGCGCCAGGCGCGCGCTTATGGTTGAGGGTTTAGGGTTTAGGGTGTTCACGGCTCATGGCGCGCGCCTTTATCAGGGCGGCTATCGATCATTTTTTAACGCCGCCCCTCCCCATTGCGCACGCCATCACGTTGCGGACAAGCCCGCCCCAAGGCCACCCAAACACAACTCTTTTAGGGTTTAGGGTTGCCCTCAGTCGCCGGGCAGGCTCTTGGCCTTTCTTTCTCCCCTCGCGCGTGCCCATTGATTGCATCGCTGCTTTCCCAAGTCCCGTGCCAAGATACGGAAGGCAAACAAAGGAGCGTATGCAGGCAAAACCGACAAGTGCAAAAAAAAGAGAGGCGAGGCTGCAACGCCAGCGACTGAGCAAGGGGTTGCGGCCGAGCTTCAAATTATTATAGGAAGTTGGTGATGTTATGAATTCTATTCGAACCCAAGCTGCCGATCCGGGACTATGGCGCGAGTGTTTTGCCCATCAGTATTTATAAGGTCCGCCGGCTTTGCGGAACAATGTTTCAACAAAGACGCATAGCTCGCCGATTTGCCGTCTAAACGCAGGATGCTATGTTTTTTCGTTGCCACGCACGACCCTATGTTCTGTCCGTGGCCTTCGGCCAGAGGCGTCCACTGTTTTCAAGGACATCCTTCTTGGCCTAGAGCCGTCCACGATGCGCCAACTGTACAGATGCGACAGAACTACCGCTCACTCCGCTCACTTGGCCGGCGCGAAGTGCTCAGGCTTGATGTAGCCTCCCAAGAGGTAGTCGGCATCTTTCCTCACCCTGGATAAAGCCACATAGGCAGCGGCTGCGCACCCTTCTCTGTCAGGCCAAAACGTCACGTGGGCCAGCTCCGCCCCCTGGAACTTGTGGACGGTGTCTGCGTACCCGGGCTTCATCGGGTAGTAGACCACCCGGCCGCCGCCGGCGTCTTCCGTCACGGGGTACACACAGAGCACCTGCTTGGTCTCGGTCTCCACAATGACGCCCCCGGAAGACCGGTCGAAGGCTTGCACAATGGCCGTCATGCCGTTCACATAGTCCAGCCTCTTGTTCATATTCCGGGTCAGACGGATCCGCAGGCCTTCATAGAGGTCTAATTTCAAGGGCTCCGGGCTTTGATCCTGCTTCATCTCGTAGGCCGTCCCGTTCCAATGGTAGTTGTCCGGGTTGCTCTCGTAGTCGGCGCCTACGCCGCCCAACTTGATGCAGCCGGGTAGCTCGAAGAGCACCTCCACAGCCAAAGCGTTAACCAGAGCAGCGCCCCATCGAGTGCACGTGATGACAGTGGTAGCCCCATCGGTTTTGCGCAGCAAGTCTTGGATGTCCAGGTTCGTGGGCTCATGGTGCCCAGACCAGGCTTTGTGACCTCTGCACATATCTCGCACGAAGGCGCTGCCTTCCCCGCCCATGGGCCGGTTCTTCCGGAGGTAAGCGAGCTTTTCAAGCAGGGGATCGCCATCAGCTTGTCTCCAGACCTTGTGCAATTCCACCTTGTAGACGAAGCGCCATTTTGGATGGTGCACCAGGCTGCGCTTGGTGTTGTCCGGGGGCGGCAATTGCCATTCATCGCCGACGAAGACCAAGCACGGCACTTTGCCGGCAGCGAGCCACATCTGATGCAAGCGCTCAAAATGCTCCTCAAAGAGTTGCACTGCCTCGTCGATGACGATCAGATCATAGCACATCATGATGCCCATGGCCTCTATCAGCGGCTTGTGGAAAAGAAAGGCGCCGTGGCAAGTGTCGAGGTCCACCTCGGGATGGCGCTGCTTCATGCGAGACCGTTGAACCCCCGTGGGCATGGCCAACAGGATCCGGGCATGCAGGCGCTGCGCCCTTTTGACGCAGAGGTCCACCACGGCAGTCTTGCCGGTGCCAGGCTGGCCAGACACGGCGACAATGGAACCGTGCTCGTCTGCAAGGCCAAGCAATCGCTCCATCTCCTGCTCGTCGGCCGCGTCTCGAATAGCCAGGGCTTGATCGACGCGCTGATCGATATTCTCCGCCACCCGCTTCTGCTCAGCGGTCAATCGGAAGCCGCCGTCCGCGTCCTCGAAGTAAGATGGCATCAAGCGCGCGGCCGGCCGCACTCGCATTTCTCGTTCCAGGTGCCCATTCAGATGCAGCTGAATGAAGAATTCCTGGGTCCTGATCATTTGAACCACTGTGTTGACCAGGGATTCTTTGTGCGCCCTCAAAGCCATGTGCTCCCGGATGGCCTGCTCGTTCCGCCACACGTGAGGTGCCCAATGCAGTGCGCAAGCCAAAAATTTCACATGTTCAGGCACCTTGTCCACGATGTCTTGCACAAGCAAACCACTCAACGTCTCGAAGGGCGCATTCAAAGCCATCCACTGGCCATAGTACCTACAGCGGCCACGAAGCCGAGCGAGCTCGAGCCGATCACACATTACGTAAGAGGGCGTGCTAGAACGACCCGTCGAAGGATGGTTTCAAGCCGAGTCGCTTATCATTCAGCGTGGACACCATCTCTGCAGCTATGACCTTCTCGCCAAAGGTCTCGTAACGGATCGCGAAGCTCTCTAAACTGAGGCCTCTGGTGTCCTTCTTGTGGGCCTTCCGGATATGCTCTAAGATGTTGCCCTTGTTGTTAACCCTGCGCAAGTACTCTAGGAGCGTCATCTCGCCGCGCCAAGTGGCCTGCTCGTAGAGCGCCACGTAAGCCGGGGGCTGCTCCATGCCTGGGTGCGGCGCGATGATCGGCTGCATAGTCCCACCCATCACGAACATGGGGAAGCTTTGATTGGCCAGCAGCATCCACATCTCAGGCTCTCCGGGATGAAAAGTGAAAAGGGCACACCTGGCAGCTCCATAGCCGCTGCTACTGTCATCCATGAGCTCCTTGCCAGGACCGTCACTGAACTTGGGCAAGTAGGTGGCGGCATACTTGAGCATGAGGCCGGTGCCGCGCTCGATCTGCGCATCCTGATGGCACTTCAAGACATCCAGGACTTCTGGGCTGTAGCCTCGCACGCCGAGCCGCTTGTCCTCCTTGGAGTGGTGAAGCTTCACCTTGTCCACGGCCGCGTCGTAGTGAGACAACCCTTCGAAGACCGGCCAGCCGCTGCCCGTCCTGCTCGTTTGGCCATCGAGCACCAAGCCTCTCAGGGGGTCGCCTTCTGCAGGCACGGTTGCTTGGAACTTCTCGTGCAACTTCATGTGCTTGATGCTCTCGGCAAAGACCAGTCCATGGAGATGCACGGCGCCTCGACCATGGTAGTCTTGGGTCGACTCTTTCCGCTTGCCGTCCTGGAATTCCAAGCGGCCCACGAAGTTGACCTTAACCCGACTGCCATCCGGCTTCGTGCCACCAAACAGAGCTGCCTTCCACTGCGACGTGGCATCGCCGAACTTGCGGCCGCCGCCACAGACCCATTCCCTGAAGAGCTCAGTCAAGAGATGTGCCAAATGCAAAGATTCAGGCCCGGCCAACCCCAGGCGTTGCCGGCCTAAATCTCGCATCTGCTGCAGAAGTGCTTCATGGTAAGGAGCCGACCACTCGAAGGGAGCCCAAGTGATGAAAGCGATCGGGTAACCGCACTGAGCTTGCATGTCCAAGGCGGCCGCGTGGCGAACTTGCCAGTATTGAGGAGTCCAAGCAGCGCCTTTCATGGCTTGCCACATCGGCATGCCTCGCAGGGCGCCCTTCTTTCCGCCAATGTCCGACCAAGTGGACAGGTCGAAGACGAAGTGCAAGAGGTTGTAGTCACCAGCGTAGTCCGCTATGGGCCCGAAGGCTTTGAGGAGGAAGCTCCGCTTGAGACTTTGGCGGCCGTTGCTGTCTTCTTGCCCCCCCGTCTCGTCACCCATGGGATCGTCTTCTGGATCTTGTTGATGGCCAGCCCGCTGCTTGCGACGAACGTCCGCTAGGCGAGTGGCCGTCTCACAGAGCCGGGTATCCCAGTAGAGATGTGGCCACACAGCGGTCTCGATGCCCTCTTCCTCGATGTAGCGAAGTGGCCTCTTACGGCGCTCATCCGTGGCCCGGGGATTGGCGTTCATGAAGCGCCGGTGCCGCTCGATTTATTTCCAGTAGTTGCAGTTGTCCTTGTCCACGAGGAAATTGAAAGCCTGCGCCAGTCGAGGCCGAACACATCAAAGCGAGTCGGTCGCGACCATCGATCCGACAACGAACCATAAACTGATCTAGGACCTAGTAAAGATGTCGCCCGCACCTTCTTTGCTCTCTTCCGCTCTTGCCGACTCGGCAAAGCATCGATCTTGTCCTCCACGTCGTCCAGGGCCCACGAGAAGCGGATCATGCTGCTGTGGAAGTAGTAGCCAAACTCAGCCTTCCATTCTGGCCCGCTGTCCACGTCCAAGGGCCGCAGCGCCTCAATTTGGGCCCAGGATAAGCCACGAAGCACAGCCGGCACATCTTCTGGCGAGGGTATCCATGTTTTCTTGTCCTCCTTTTTGGCACAGTTCTTGCAAAGGATGATGTTTCCTTTGGCTGCGTCTCGTGAAGCAGCTTCCCTCAGATGACGTGGTTGCACGGAAGCACATTGGCGACACAAGTCCCAAGACCCACGCTTGCACCAAGTCTCCAAAGCAGCAGCTGCAGAGCTGACGTAGGCAGCAGGCAAGCCAGCATCGTTGTGTGCGAGATCCCGCACCTGTCCACGAAGCTCCTCGTTCATTGGCGCTCGCCATTGGTGGTTGACGTGTCGGACCGTCCGTGTCCTGCTTGGAAAGAATTTCTTCTGCACATAAGCTCTATCCTGCTCCACTCCGTCTTGGTATTCACGGAGTTCCTGAGGCGAAGGGCCGGATACGATGGAGCACCGCTTTGCAAGCAACTCCTCCCACGTTGGCTCAGACACATGGGCGCGCAAGCTCTCCCTTGCTGCGCCATCGATCTCTGCCAAAATGCTCTGGTTGAAAGCCGCCTCAAAGACGTTGGGCGCCATCAAGCGCCATTGCCTCAAGAGGCGGGCCACGATCTTCCGGCCACGCGCAGTGCCCAAGGCTGTGTCCATGTTGCCCCGGTGACAAAAGCTGCAGCACCCGTCCCGGGTTCCTTTGGCGGCGCGACCGCTGCCATCAGCAGCAAAGCAACATGGCTGTTCCGGGCCCCTGCCCGGGCAAAACACCTGTCTCCGCCGATGGCCGGCGGGCGCGGCCTCCGCAGCAAGAGCTGGCTGCGCGGCAGGCGCTTGGAGCTCTTCGTGTGGCAGCGGCGGCCGCTTCGCCCAAATGCGACGGCGCTTGGGTGGTTCCATGGCCATAGCAACACAACAGAGGGCGAGACGGGCGACGCGAGGCAGGCGATTGCGAATTGAATTGAGTGCTGCAAAGGGCCACGCGCACGTGACACATGATGAGCCGGTAACGAGACGGAAACTGCCGCAAGGATGTAGTTCTGAGTGTTTTCGCATTACAGACAAGCCTCGGTTAAATGAGCAATTCGCAGTGAACGGATATGTGACATGTGGAGCGAGTGCGAAAGCACGATCGACGATCGACCAAAGAAATCCAACTTTAGCACGTCGGCTAAGCCAGCTCTTTTCTTCCGAGGGCCGCCGCTGTGAAAAGGTCGAGGCCCAACCGCCCACCTGGACTGCGCCTGTGCAGGGTTTGCAGCCCAGGCTGCTACGTCTGCATTGCGGCCGCGGCTCACTTCTTCCATTCGGCTTCCACGATGGCAACCATGTCCTTCAAGGCTTTCAGCAAAGCCTTGAGGTTTTCGGTTCTCGGGTAGCGGGTCTTTTGCATGAAATCGGTCACCGTTTTCTGCAGGCCTTGGTGGTTCAAAACGGTTTCCGGGACTTCTTGCAGAACAGCTTGCAATTGTTGGATGCTCGGGCGGTCTTTGCTGCTGTCGACTTTGCCCTCGAGCTCAGTAAGGAATTCTTTGAGCGCGTCGACTTTCTCCAAAGGCCAGCCGGTCACGTCCAAGCTCGCCGACGCCTTCGCGTCTTCTTGGGAGGACGCTAGATCGATGTGCTTTGAGTCGTCCTCCGCATCCGATGCCAAGGGCCCTGCCTTCTTTGCCGGCTGCTTGCTCGTCAGCTTGCCGCCTTTTCCCTTGGAAGTCTTTTTTGCCCGCTGCGCTTCCCAAGCGTCGTCTTCTGCATCGTCCCCATAGAGCTCGGCACCGCCCTTGCCCCACGCTGCGGCCGCCGTGGGCTCTTCGTCCCAATCGTAGGTTGCGGCAGCACGCTTTTTCACGCCAGCTTCGAGTTTTTGGTGTTGGAAGGCAGCCACCAAAGACCATACCAAGGCTTCCTGATCCTCGGGCGCGCGCAGCCACGCCTTGCAATCTTCCGGTAAAGCCGCTTGCTGCCCAACTGCATGCACGCCAGCTGCCATGACCTTTGGGTTGAACAGGGCGGTGATCGCTTCAAGGCCTTCAAAAGCAAAGATGTATAGCCGCGCCGTGAGGCGCAGCAACTTCCGGAAAGCCGCTTCTTTTTCTGCGGGCTCGTGGGTCAAGAAGCGAACAAAGCGTTTCACGGCCGCGGCCGTAGCTCCCTCGTTGCGTTCCACTTCAGTGTTGGCAGTGTTCAAGTACGCGCATGCTTCCAAGAATTTCTTGCCACTTGCAGTCTGGAGCTGCTCGAGTAGTGGCTGAATGCCAACTTTCTTCAAACCGGCGCCGGCGTCCTCGCCGAAGTGGTGCTGCAACGCTCCAGCGCCAACCTCGAAGTTCGCGGCGCCTTCCGAGAGCGCAATGCCCTGCCGCGCGCAATACTCCGAGGAGTCCTCGCTCAGAGTGTTTCGTAGGTGGTATGAGGAGAGCAGCTCGGATTCTTGGACGCCATTGGCAGAGAACGGGCTGCCAGCTTGATCCACGTAAGGGCGAAGGTACCACTTGGAAAGCCGATTTTCCCAAGAAACCTTTTTCACATAGTCTTTCTTTTCGCCGAAGGTCTTGCCCTTCGCTTTCCCGCCGCTGCCTTTGCCCTTGCGAGCGCTCCAAGCACCTTTGCCCCAGGACGACATGACAGCAGCTAGCGCGGGATAGGGCCGAAGAGGCAAGATGAAGCACGACAAGGTAAAGCTGTGAGCCAACAAACTTCGAGAAAACCTTTGACCCGCAGGCGAGCTCATTCTTTGAAATTTCAATACGAACAGCTAGAGGGATGCGCAACTGCGAGACAGGATCTGGCAAGCTAGAGCAACATCAGCAAAGGCGTCTCCACAACAGTCAACTTCTCAAAGCAACATGATCGAAATTTGATATAAACCTCAAATCCTTGGCGCTAGCTGGTCAGCCGGCCGTGTAAAGATCGATTTTCCGCGTTGCACGCCTTGGATTCACAATGCCACCGGCAACTGCTAACAGAGCCCTGTACCTTAGAGGCAACAAGCCCGTGGACAGAAGCCATCAACAGAAAACAGCGCTTATTACTATAGAAGGTAACCGGGCGTAACTCTTAAACGGCTGGGGAGGTATGCCTTTACAAAGCCCGGGCAGCGCTAAGGTAATTGGACGTCACTCTTAAGCGGCTCACGAAGTGTTCATACGCATCCATTTCAATGCGTCAGGCTTCCCTGCGGTAATCCTGCGTCACTCTTAAACGGCCTGCGAGGTGGCTATACTGAGGGTCCCACCGGCGCGACGGTAATTTCGTGTCACTCTTAAACGGCCTGGGGCTTGTCACTTGTCTACATCTCGGTTCTCCTTTAGATCTAGCTCCGGTAGAACAGATTGCTTCACACAGGCGTCTGCAAGTCACAGCGCTTCCCACTCACGCCTTTGCTTTCGCCTTTCTCCTTGAAACTGCCCGGGGACAAAGAGGAAAATGTTGCTCAAGTCTGCCCAGTCACAAGTGGCCTAAACGCAGCCCAAGTCACTTTACTATGTACAGTGGCGTCTCGCCCTATTAGGTTTAAGTTTTCGAGGTCCGTGCCCATGCCAGCCAAAGCTGCACCGGGTTGCCAGTCCGGTGTTGCACTCACGTCCGCCCTC